CCCACTTTTCAAATTTTTAAAAGAGAGCATACTAAAGAAAAAAACTTGAGACCGGAAGTATGCGCTGAAAAACATGCGTATACCCACTTCACAAAAATTGTTTTAAACTAGCTGGCAGAAGTATCATTATATTATGTATTAGGTAAATAAATATACTTTATAATATTATTAATTACATTGTTAAAGTTATTATAATTTAAAATCAACTTAATAAAATAATAACTAATTATATTATGTTATTAATTTATATAATTGAAAGGAGGTGGAGGTGGAGGGGTTGATGCAGGCCGTAGCCAGATCAAATTTTCTGGTGGGGCAAAGCAAACTTTAGGGGGGGGGGCGTTATATATAAAATATGTCTAATATTTTTAAGGGAGCAACGCCCTTTCCCACCGTGGCTACGGGTCTGGGTTGATGACAAAAGCTGCCACATATGTAGCATACTCACAAATAACTTTAGGATTACATGCCTGTACACGTCATCCTTTATTGGTTACAGAATTAGGTTAAGTGCTATCTATGTACCAAATTTCAAAATCAAGAGTGTGATAATAACTTGGATAAGAATTGCTTTTATATGAATGCATGCATGCATAGAACATTGTATTTTAATGTATTAATTTTTTGTTTGTATATTAAATTCAAGTAGACATGCTCCGAACGTTCAAGTGACGACGATGAAAGAAATTCGATTTCAACAACGATATCTGCAGAAAAAGTTCCGTTAGATGATAATATAAGCGGTGGAGTCTGAGTGCATGGTGCATGACGAAGATGATAGAAGTTCGACTTCATCAACGATTTCAAGATGATGAAGATGAAAATTAATGTATTGTATTGTATTTTGTCATGGTCAAAAGTTACATCAAATTACAAAAAAGTAATAACAATAATAGTTACCTATTTGTCTATTTATCCATGTAATATGTATATTATTAAATTTGATATAACTTTTGACAATGACAATAGTCACTTATGTATATTATTATACTATATTTATTATTTATTGTAGTTACCTACTAATTTACAATTTACAATATCGTCTCGGCGTGACTCGTATTTTGTGACGCTCATTATTTGTCTGTATCGGCTACGACCTTTTTTAGTTTACCCATTGAGGAGCCAACCCGTTCAAAATTGACTAAACTAGAGCTATGGAGAATTAAAAAAATTAAATTTATTTAATTTTTTTTTTCTAACTGTAGTACGTACTTATTTTTTTTTTTAAACATCATGCAACAAACAATCAAAATTATTATTATTAAATTAATTAACTATTTACTATTTATGAATTATTATCTTATTTTATTATTACACATTATGAAATTGCATATGGTCTTAATTGGCCGAGACCAAAAAAGAA